CGTGTGACGTAATCCCTTCAGCGGGCATGCTGAACTCTCTGGGAGCTGTGGGGTTTTGTTAAGAAAGATATTCAGCCTGGATTTACTGGCTTCAAGGGAAGTTCAAGCATGTTTTAAATTACTCCGCTGATTACTGTCGCTGCTGTGTACCTTTCTAGGCAGGTACCTGCTCAGCGTGCAGCCCTCTGAGGAGAAGGGCAAGGACCAAAGGTGCTTCTTGGGGTTTTCAGGAGCCCAGTGCTAACAGGGCAAGCAGGAGGCCAACACACCCAGGACCTTTTGCTTTAAAGGTCTAAAAGCACTGCTTGCTGGGATTCCACGTAATTTCTCTCCGGTTTAGGAGTGAAAAAGAACTTTTTGCCCTCCCAGAGCCTTTCCACCCGTGCAGACGCGGACAAACTTCACAAAGCCATGTCTCCATCCCTCTCCTCTTTTGCACGGAGCTGGGATTGGTCTTGGCGCCGTGAGGTGACTGTGGCAGCGCTAGCCTTGGTGAAAGCTGCTGGAATAGTTGGTCCCCAGACACGGGCAGGGATCTGAATTTAGCTTCTTTTCTTCAGGTTGTAACTGCGCTCTCTCTGAGGGTATTGTCTAAAAATATTAAAGTGGAACATGAGGGACGATGCGATGAGGAATAGGCTGTGTAGAAGTGGCCGCTCTCTTCCATGTGTCATTCAAGGGTGGGTTCTGGGGGGAACCACGTCACGCGTCCGTCTCTGAGGACGGCAGCTCCTTCTCCAGCCGGTGCACAGAAAGGGGTTGCGTTCCTATTTCCAGCCGAAGGAGGTCACAGGCTGTCTCCGTACCTCCACTGCTTGTCCTACCTATTTCAGAGGGCATCACAGGGTGTTAGGGGTTGGAAGGGACCTCGAAACATCATCTCCTCCAAGGACACCACAGGATTCATGCTCCTCTGGAGCCCCTGAGCTCTGCCTTGGTCATATGGAGCAATACCCATGTTGTCAAATCATTGGGGCAGGAACCATTTACCTGCAGGAAGACGTGGGAAAGGAAGGGCACCAAATCCTCCGGACGAGTTTGGTCGGACGCTGCTGCAATTGTGTGTCCTCCTTGTAAAAGCAGAAAGCACGGTGCATCGGGTTCCCAGTCCCTGGTTTGTCTGTGGCTCTTAATTTTGGACCTGTGGAGTGAGTGTGCAGACTGTTAAGATATTAGCACGTAGAGGCGTTGATAACGTTATAGTTGATTGCTTCGGGAGAGACAAGGGCTTCTTTTCCTTTCTTATGATTTGAATAATGATTAAGTTGAAGTCTGAGAGTACAGATCAACTTGGTTTAATTGGTGATATAACAGTGTAAATGCAAAATAAAGATATTTAAGTTCCAGTGTAATAACTGTTCCGTGTTTGCTGCCTGTGTGTCTTACTGCAGTTTACTCCACGGGCATTTGTTTCAAATTCAAACTACTGAATGTTTGTTTCTTAGCGTGGGTCACAAAAGTGACCTTTGAGATAAGGATTAGCAGCTCATCTGATTCGGTCTGTTCGTGTATAGCTGACCTCCTTGAAAGTTACTGATATAGTGAAAATTAAAATTACAATTTTTATGTTGGTTTTTTTACCCGCTCCAGCTGCATCCATGGAGAGACACTGTGTGGTAAACCTTTCCTCTATGCCTTCCAACTGTTTAGTTATTTCCATCCTTCCTCAACTGACTGTTTTTAAGGCTCTTTTTCACAGCTCCTATCGGGCCTTTGAGAGTTCCACTCCTGCCTGGAGCTGCCAAGTCAAAACCTTTTTTTTTTCTTTTTTTTTTTTTTTTTCTCTTTCTCTCAACATACTCAAGTCCAACAATCTTATCTTGGCTTATCTCTTCTACCAGCTTTCATCCTAGCTCCCTCAAATGGAGAGCAAGAGGAAGCGGTTGCTGGGACACAGAGATAAAAGAGAGTAGAAGCAGGACATTTCACTAGGATTCAATGCATATTAAAACAGGGGATTAATGCATTTTCATTTCCCCCTTACTCTATATGGGCATCTTACTGTACCTCTGGTGAAGTAAAGCGACCTTTAAACTTCTCAGGAGTGGATTGGGGAGAGAACTCTGAGCGCTTCACAGAGTTGAAAGAGCGAAATACTACAGTATGTACCCCGTGTTAGTGCAAGGCTGGTTTTTTGACTGGAACTCTTGTTTCTCCTTTTCTGCAGGGATTCCTGAAGAATGAAAAAGATAATGCATTGCTGTCAGCCATTGAAGAGTCTAGGAAGAGGGTAAGTTGGAAGCAAGCACCATTTTTCCCTTTAAAAAAGGGTGAGGAGTTGCCCCGATGGAATTAATGAGTACTCTTTTTTTTTTTTTTCTCTCTCTGAGAAATGCCTTGTGCGCTGACTTTCCCCGTATAGCGATGACATTCGCTGTATTTGTTGTAGTTGTTTCTCCAGGTTTGGGGAGTTGTTGAAGTACAGATGACCCTGTTCAGGCTGATGCAGCCCAGGTGTCGCAAGGTTTAATTCTTGTGTCGGTAGAAGAGCCTGAGGTGCTATGCTGCATCACGCTGTCCAAAGGAAATCTCTCGTATAAAGAAGAAGAAAGGAGGAGGGATTGAAGCAGTAAAAGGAAAATGCTACAGTAAGGAAGAGTTGTTGATTAGGCTCAGGGTTTGCGGAGTCCAGTGTTCTTCCCTTGGAAGCGACCCGTACTTAAACAGTCTGTAACAAAAAAAAGGTGGAGTTAGCCTTCCCCTCTTCATCTCCTGTCTCTTCCCTTCCGAGCGAGTAGTCATTCTGAAGACTTTTTTTCTTAGCTGGAAGTTATCTTCTGATGTGAAATTCATCTAATCCTGGTTCTGAATCTATTTGTGCTTTTTGGTATCTGTCATGTTCTGGGGCAGTGATTTCCACAATTGAATTATGCAGTGGGGAAAAACGCTTCCCGTTGTTTGTCTTTCAGACTGCTGCTTGGAAATGTCGTTGCACGCTTCCTAGGGCTGCTGTTGCGATTCTTGCCCTCCGCGTACACTTGGGGCTTCGGGTTTAGAGCTGAGCCTGTGTTTCTTTCAAATGATGAGAAATAGTAGTTAAGCATTATTAAATTATTTTAATTACGTATAATTGTACTGTCGTTATCGAAGCGCATTTCAAACACTGTTGAAATGATGACAGCGAAGGTAAGGGGTAAGGCCTATATTCTGCCATGAAAGTATAAAGTGAATTTATATAACAAAGCAACACAAATCTTATGCTCTAGTTGCATGCATGCGCCATAATTAAATGTTTGCCAGATGTCCCTGCCTCTTATCAATTCGTTTGATGCTGGGGAATGTTTTGCCCCTTAATTGACAATATCCTAACAGTGGGCTCTAATGAGATGAAAACTGAACGTCTTGGTTGGCTGAATAAGTTCACGTACGCTGCAGCCCAAAGCAACATGAAGGACTGAGAAGGTTGGGAAAGGGAAAGAAGTGGAAGATCCATTATAGCTTATTCTCCATTTAGAATTAGTGAAATATTCTTATTTCCTGTCCCAGTTGACTCGAGGCTGCTAGTTAGCATCACCCTGTGACAGTAACAGGAAAAGTAGTGAAGCCCCTTTATCTTAATGCCAAAATAAGGAATAATGAGGGAAAAGCTGTTTCCTTGCCCAAGTTCCCCAGTCGGATCTGAAGACAATGCTGCACATCAGCTGTTTTAAAGGTAAAAGGATATTTTTGCTTGGGAAATTTTCCTGTATGCTTTCCTGAGTTACACTTCTGATGGGAGAGACTTTCTGATTCTTTGGCACTAGTTAATTTTGCTTAATACTTTTATCCTATTTGCCATTAAAAAAAAAAAAGCACACGAGTAAAGACCTGAGGAAGAAATACGGGTAATAAATGCACATTTCTCTTAAGAATACGGCCGGTCAGACCTTTATAGTTGCCGTTAGAGAAACTAGTCCCAACAAACCACACAGACCAGCGATGACCTGCATATTGGGTGCGTGCTGCTCAATATGTTCCTTAGCTCTCGTTCTTTTTTCACCATCAGACTTTTGCTATGGCTGAGGAGTATCACCGAGAGTCAATGCTGGTTGAATGGGAACAGGTGAAACAAAGGATTCTCCATACTCTGCTCGCATCCGGGGAAGATGCTCTCGATTTCACCCAGGAAAATGAGGTAATTCTGTCTTTCTAAACGCTGTGCGCAGTCACGCGGGGCATGACCACCGCTGGCACACCAGCACTGCTGAAACCTCCTCCTCGTTATTCGGTAGCTACGGCTGTGTGAAAATGAGAAATGTCAAATGGGCAATTCCAGAATGGCTGTGACCAGCGGAATGCATTTTGTAGCAAAACATCAAACCTTTTTTATTTGTTTTTTATTGACTGATGGGCACAGGCAATGGAGCTCCTATTGCTGAAGCTCTTGTTTTCACCGACGTACGTGCAGGCTGGAAACTTAGTCACGCTAACATATATTAAATCAATATACCCAGGGGGCAGAAAACACATTGGTGTGGACGTCGCCTTCAGGAAACCTCTGCAATGCTAACGAGGCCAGACAGTTTCTCAGGTGCCGCTCTGCTCATATCTAGTTCTTAAGAGTGTCTCTTCCCCTTATCTCACAAGGATTTAAGGCCTTTCTTAGGAGGATGATGAAGTCTCTCAAGTTTCTTGGTAAAACCAAATGAATATTCAACAGCAAAAAAAGAAGAGTATGCTTTCCTTTTTACTTTGCTCTCTCAGACAGTGCAGATTAAAATTTTGTGCTGCAAAAACCTCTAGTGTTTGACAATTCAAGGTTAATCTGGTAGTGACCAAATAATTTAGGGAAGACTGACTCCATGTTTGAATGGAAAAGGTGTTGACAAGCAACTTAACACATTCCTTATCTTCTGTTACAACTTAAAGTGTTGCAGTTTATTCTCTTAAAGAAAATGCTCAGGCTGCTTGAGTAGAGGGAAGCGTGGTTACGTGCAGAGCTGTGGGAGCTGCCCCTCTCTGAGCTAGAGGCATCGCACATCAGCCGAGATCCCCGGAGCACAGGGTTGTGTCACAGCGCCCGCACGATGCTCCAGGAAAACTGTCCCCTGGAGAGGAGAAGTGATGGGAGGCGAGGGCATGCCAGTTGTCACGCTTTCAGGCCAGAAAACAGACCTAGATTTTTTTTGCAGCCATATTCCCCAGTCCACCCACCCTCCTTTTTTTCAAAAAACAAGTAAATAAATTCTTGCTCATTGGGTTGCCTTATAGAGCTGCAAAGTACATTAACACCCAGAGCTTGTTTTTTATTTTAATGGGGTATGACCTGTATAGGGATTTGAAAATAATTTAAGTTGTTAATGAAATGTCCCTTTCTGGTTACTGTTCTTTTAAATATAGGTTAATCCCAGTTAGCATACATCTTTTTATAGAAACTGTCTTCCCCAGAAAGCATTTTACTGGTACTTTACTGTGACTTCTCAGAAGGTTGTCCAGCTTCCCAGTATTAGAAACGCTAAATATTGCAGGCTGAATTCATTTAAAGCTCAGAACAGCTTATCCCATTATTTTAGGATGTGAGTCTGAAGACTTGACAGCTACTCTGATAGCTTCTAAAATCTTTGATTTGTGTGTGACTTCCTGGTGTGGGATTTTCCTTCCAAAGGGTGGGTATTAACTGCTAGGAGGAGCAATTTAATAACCTTCTCTGAGAAAAGGTGAAACTCCTTTTTGCTTATGTTTCAGTGTCAGATGGATCCTACCCCCAGCCCTGGCATTTGAGATGCCAAGTATCAAATTGATGGGAAGGAGGAGTGGGGAGAAAAAAACCCCCCACCCTGTAATATTTTTCATGAATGACTCAATATACACTATCGCTCAGTAATACTCCACTCTCCTTTTCTTAACTCTCGTAGTATCAGTATGTCATTTCAAGAGCGTTTAAAATCCTTGATATATTCTAGTCTTAGCCTCAAGAAGTCAAAGGTCTGAGAGGTTTGAAGTGCATCTACTGTGTTAAAAGCCTGTTATCTAACCTCCCCACAGCAGGTTGTTCTTCTAAAGCCTTGTTCCAGTCAAATAAGTTTTTTGTGTGTGTGTGACACAAACAGGCATAGCCTGTAGAATATAGTAGAGGTTTAATTGATATCCTCTGGAGATGGAGGCTCGACTGAAAAGGCACAGATCCAAACGCAGTGGGGGGCCGCTCTGCCTGCGAGCCAATTCTCAAGCTTTGGGCAAGCTAATTTGGGTAGAGTGAAATACCAACATGTTATTCATGGAAATCAGACCAATTAACGGGCCAAGCTCGTGAGTCAAAGAATCTAGTGCAGGACTTGCTGTCAGGGTTTTCTGCTCCCCCTTGCCCTCCAGCCTGGCCTTCTTCCTGTAAGGGAAAACCAGAGCTAATAAAAAGGTGCTTCTTAGCAGGGAAAAAAAGGAGGAAAGCCAGAGTTTGTTTTTTTCCCCAAGGTACCAAGCACCTGTGCTCTCAAGGTAGGTGCCGAGGCATTTCTTTTGCCCTTTTATTCCAGGTTTTTCGTTCTTCCGCTCCCGCTGCCAAGCAACTCACTCCCACAGTGATGGAGAGAAGCCGCCGCTCTCAGTTTCTGTCCTGTCCCTCTGTGTCGTGTCTTCGCATCTGTTAAATCCCAAGGACTGCAAGATGCTTTCTGCTGCCCCGTGGTGTATTTTGCTGGTGTTTCTCCAGCTCGGTCCCCTGCCTGTTCACCGCATCTAGTGGCCAAGCCGTTTGGAGTGCTGACAAAATGTCTGCCCAGACTTGTGCTGAGGAATGTGCATATGCATATGAGGGTGATGAATAATGCATCTTTATAGGCAACACGGATCGGTGCGCGAGTGAGGCTGAGTACAAACGAAGGAGGACTCCTTTGGAAAAAGCAGCATCGTTAGGCTAAATGCACGTAAAGGGAGAGCAGCGCAGTATTGCTGCAGCTTTTGCCAAGGGGTGATATTCAGAATAAATATTACAGTTCCAAAGAGCGTTTTGGAAAAGACCTAAATTCAGGGCAGGGAGAAGCGAATGTGGATAAAGACAACACAAGGCAGTTAAGCAATAGCAGACGAGAGACGCAGGAAGATACGTGCGCGTGCCCTCGCGCTCCTGCAGTCCTTTGTGCATCACCCGCTTCGCCGTCTTTCCTCCTGCTGCTCCAGTTAAGCTGAAGAACGTGACCTCACACACAGCTCTTCTCGTAGGCACCTAGCTGCTGTTCTTAACACACCTTTCTCAGTCTTGTCCTTGCTGGAAAATTGGCCAAGTTCTGCCACCAGAGGATATCCTCCCCCTTCCCCTAGTTGTTAGCTCGCGGGGGATGCCTCTGCAGGCGTGGGTTCCCAGCTACAGAAGGATTGCCCGGGCAACTCTGCTTTTCTGCAGTTCAGGGTGAAGCGTGGAGACTGCCTTCCCCATGCTGACTCACTTTTGCTTTTTGAAATTTCCTTTTAGAGCGTTCAGTGAGCTAGTGCGCTTTTTTTCTGACATTTTAATAATTCAAAGATGAAGCCAGAACGCAAGCATGAAATAGGAAAAAAGAAAAAAAAGGAAATCAACTTGCTTCCGTGGCTCTTGGTATAGGAATAAAAAGCCTAAGAAAAACAAGACGAATTCTGGAGTTCCTGAATCTTTTTCTTTGCTGTGTGCCAAGTGGGTAGTGGGCATTTAAAGAATTTAATTTCCATGTGGCAGTTATCAGGTGTGGCTGGTTGTTCTTAAGTGATCCTCAAAGCCTGATGGTGAGGGTGAAATTAAAATCAGAGAAAGGAAAGGAAAACCCAACCCCCCAGTGCTGTTATTTCTTAGTTTGAGGTGTGCGCTTTGAAATTTAGAGCCCCACATGTGGGTTTTAACCTGTCAGTCGTGCCTGGCTCTCTGGAGTGGCAGCCACGTGGATGCTCTTTGGCGCTGCAAAGCTGCAGCAGGAGAAAAAGGAACCAGGTTCCCAAAACAAAGCCCCAGTCCTTATGTTTCTGGTGTTTGGGCACTGCTTGAAAAGTGACACGAAGTCACAATGTAGCCTTTTCCACTTGTTTTAGAAGATGAAACCTCATCAGTAATTAATGGCAACGTCCATAATTTAGCGTTACTTTAAATAACTCTGCAATTTATCTGGCACAGCAGAGGGGAAGACTGCGAAGCGCTATTTCTGCCATCGTGTCTGTTTCCCAGGAAACCTACTTTAACAGCTTCTTTGTTCTTTAGAACAAAGAATTTGTCGGCTTTTTAGGTGGGTTTAAAGGAATTTGTGTCAGATGATTTGGCACTGAAAGAAAAATGCAAATGCTCCTGAATATCAGTATCCATTAGGAGTGACTGGGAAGAATATATTTCAGTGTAAGTTCAGTTGCAATAAGAAAAAGTGGGATTTCTTTTTTAGGTTTTTGTAAGGCGTTTTTATACCGCCTAAGGTCTAAAAGTATCTGCCTGCTTTTATAATCAAGTTTGACATAATTTAAATAGCGCTATTACGGAGAAGTTAATGCAGTGGTAAACTAATCCCAGCAATTTAAAAGGATTGTTATTTTGTTTTTATTTCGGGGACAAACACAACTGAGTACTTTTTGTTCTGTAATCAACTGTTGTGTGCTACGCAGAACACAGTAATCACAAAGTTCTTACAATTTCTCAATAGAGGTCAATGCCCTTATCTTCACGTATAAGTTCCCAGCTAACACGGAACAGCTTTGTGACTGAGTGTCACTTGATTTATCTTTAAATCTTAAATTGTGGAAATTTTCCCAATCTAAACTCTTGGACTAGACCAGTGGTTCGCTGTTGACTTTGCGAGAACGTATGCTCAAGAGTGCAAGAATAGAAGATAACCTGGATTAAACTGATATCACGATAAAATTATAAGCATTTTGGAATGAGAGACTGTTCAGTGACCGGTAACAGATCTGGAAATTCGCGTGTTTGTATTAATTCATTTCAAAGTTGGGATACGGTTCCCAAAAAAGCAAGATCCTTTTGAAGGACCCCATCGGCATTTCGTCCTTGCTTGGAGCAAGAAACTGAATAATGAAACAAGAAACTGAATAATGATGCTACGTGGAGAAAAGGTGCCCATTCCTGGGATCTTGCCCTGAAATCCGCACACCCAGGTGGCGGCAGGACTGTTGGCCCTGCTGGGCTGCAGCCTGACGGGTGTCTGCAAAGCTGAAATCTAAAGCTGATTCAAGTGAAAACAATGTGGAGTTTTGGTGCGTGGGTTGGGTTTTTTTCCCCATTGCACTTGGGCTTTATGTTGTTTGTACAGGCAGCAAGTTGGTCACGTCTAACTGAACTATTCCAGGAACGAGTAGATGGTGTCCTCAGGCAGTACTTGAAGGTGATCCTACGTGCACAATCAAGTCCTGACTTTCCGGGTCACGGATGTAAGAAAAAGTATTGCTGAGGTGCTGGTAAAAGGATGAATGTTGCAACTCGCCAGCTGTACCTACCTTTTCTCAGAAAAAGTTCCCGGTTCTGGGTCAGAGGAGTATCGAAGGGCTTGAGTTGTGCGGCAGTCAACCAAGCGATGCCCCGTCTCGGTGTTTGCTCCGCTGCGTTCAGTGCTTGGCTCATGGGCTTCCCGTCCTCTCTCCTGGTGTAAGATCTGCAGAACTGCGCTGAAGCTGGGTGCCTGCAGGAAGCCAAGAGAGGTTTGGGTGGAGAGGTGACGTCTTATCTGACCAGCTCCACCTGGGAGAGGCAAATTTGCTTTTGGCTTCAAAGTCTGAAATTCAAAGGCTCTGTTTCAGACCTGAAAACACTCTTGCTTTTCTGTTCCCCTGTGCTTGCCCCAACTATGTCTCTTCTGTTCCTCTTTGCTTGCCCCAACTATGTCAGCTGGTTTCCTAATAAATATTATGCTTCTATCCCGAGCATGTCTTGCTTTTATCTTCAGACCATGGTGGCTGTAGCCCTGCTTACGAAGCAGCTGATATTAAAGGATTGCTTCCCTCAAAGGGATCTGTCTTTAAGAATGATTGCACTTTGTTTTTCAAAGCCAAGGCTTGCAATGCCGATGCCGAAATGGAGAATTACGTTTTTAGGAAGGAGGAAACGTTGGAGAGTGTCACATACTGAATTGTGGGAGTTTTGTTTCCTCCAAAGGGGTGAACAGTGGTGGCTGTACTGGAAATGTGATTTGTAGTGAACACTTGCAAGGGTAGCTTCGTGCAGCATTAGGCTGTTGCAGCATATGTTGTATTTTGCGTTTTTTAAAAGAGTACAACTTTTCCTTGCCGTGAGTTCATCAGCTGTCCTCCCCTGCTCTACACTGAAAATACCTCAATCCTGGCATAGGCTCTGTGGGTAAAGATGACTTTTTTCGGGTCAGGATCTTGCCAGCATCCTCCTTCCTCCTGCAGCAGACCAGCAGCAGGACGCTTTCCTTTTCAGCACAAAATGCTACCATCCCATTTTGTGTCTGTCTCAGATTTGCCAGACTGGATCCTTTTGAGCTGGTCTGTTGAGTTGCGCATCCTTGATGTCTTTGGACGTTCAGACTAGATGCTTTGCAGCAAGACGCTAATATGACATTAAGCAACCTTTCAAGAACAGAAGGAAATAATTAAAATTAAAAGATGGTATCAAGAGACACCAGTGTCCTAATTCTAGAGAGCTAACGTTCCATTTGTGCGCTGGTTAAGGAGATTTCTGTCACTTTAGAAAGTTTAAGCTGTGTTGGGAAGATAATGGAGTGGTGCAGTGAGACTCTCATTTTTCTCCATAGGTTGAAAACTATTGTCTTCGTTCTGTCAGGTGCTTGGTTTTGCTGTTCTCCTGATGAGTAGGTATATTGGTAAAATGAATTGTGGTCGTTTTATAGCTTACACCTTTTTCTGCACTTCTCATTAAACAGCCCAGCTACGTCGGTGAGTTGGGTCCTCCAGGTCGCAGCTCTTTGGACAACGTGGAGATGGCGTATGCTCGTCAGGTGAGTGGAAATGAAAAACACAGTTCAATGTTGTTTTATACAGAGAGAGAGAAAGAGGTCGGACGAGTACGATCTGTGCACGTAGCTTGTAAGAAGATACAGTAGGTAAAGCATCAAAATATCTGCCTGGAGTTAAAACACGATTGAAAAAATACAGAAATTTAGCCTGAATTTTGAGAAGTGTACTTACTTGTCTGCTGCGGGATTTGTTTTGTCAAAAGGAGATCCCAAACTCTATATGTGACTGTAGAAATAATTTATGCTAATAGAGTAAACAGATACTCTTTTAACCTTTCAAAAAGAAAAAAGTTTTTTAGAACTCCTGTCAACGCGCAAATGTACGCAGATGAAGACTTTATATTCCCTTTATTCTCACATGTGGAAGATCGCTTCTCTGATGTGCCTCTAACCCGTGACAGTGCGTGTAGGAGAAAACACGTTGAAGTCTTAATCCTGATGTTCGTCAAATTATATCCCATTTTAATGGCATCACTTATGAGCAGCTTTAGTGCATCAGCTATGAATTAATATGTCTGGTAGCATTAGGCTCCCTCTGCACATTTTCAGGGAAAACTGATAAACCTTTACGTAACCAGTTTGTTCCTTCCGTTGTTTGAGGTGATCTGTTTGCCAGCCCTGTTGGGAGACAAACTGAAAGAGAAGGGCTTGATTTCTCAAGATGGAACGGACGTAGGCAAAGCGTCGCCTGATTTGCGCACAATTACTGTTAGTGCGCGCGTTGGCTCAGGCTTTGCTGAGCCAAGTAGCGGCTTGTACATCTCTTTTTTTCTATGTCTGCGTTTGTTGACTGTGAGGAAAGGAATCGCTAAATAAGGCGCATGGCTGTGCCGATGAAGCGTACGTTCAATTTAGTTTAAGGGTGCATTTTGAAGGGCAGGGTTTCTGTTCTCGTTCCCCTGAACGCTGCCGCAAGCCAGCAAAATTTCATTTCTTTTATGTCAGCAGGTAGGGGGGCTGCCACGCAGGGCAATGTCGCAGCCACCCAGCTGCCGGATCTTTGTCTTCTGACAATTACCTGCAATTAGTCGAACAGGGCTTGGGCGTGATGTGGAAGGAAGTGGGGTCGGTGCTGATGCCTGTTCCTCGCGCGCTGGATTAGAAGCGGCTCACGTGGGAGGGAAGCAGAAGGGACTTGCTGGGGACGCTCTGTTCTCGAAGCCTGGTTCAGATTTTGCTGCTGTGGCTGGGGAGGAGGAAGGGAGGTAATATGTGTTGTTAAAATTACTTTCAACGTGTTTCAGATTTATATTTATAACGAGAAGATAGTGAATGGACATCTGCAGCCTAACCTGGTGGACCTTTGCACTGCTGTTGCAGAACTGGACGATAAGGTACTGCCAGTGAGTTTTAACGTAAGGAAATGTGTTTAATCTGTTTTCAGCTGTGATTAAAAGCCTGCTGACTTTGGTGGAAAAATACTGATATTGCCAGAAAAAAATAAAATCAGAAAGTGCATGGCTCCACAGAAAATACAGAGCCAATAGTGGAATCTTCTGTAGTACAGCAGAGCCCACCTGTGATGAACTTAGTCGTGGTGAAAATTTCTTAACATAGCAAGGGAGAAAAGAACTTGGTTTCACTATGGTGTCCCATCGTGAGTGATGAGCTGTCGAGGACGGGGGGAAATTGCTTTTCATTTTAAATGAAAACCAAATGCAACAGAACCCAAAATGTCATCTCTTAATATCCTTTAAATGTATTTACCTGTAGGTGAAGGGTCTTCAGTCAGACCCTACTAGAGCTGAAGTAGGCTCCCACAGCAAAGCAAAGCCCTCAGGATTCACTTTCAGCCAGTGATCTGCCTGCTTTTCCTTTTTTTTCCCCACTCCTTTGATTGTGCTACCTTCATCCACCCCAAAAAAACAAACGTACAAACCTGGCCACCTTTGAGAAATGCTTGGAGGAGAATATTGTAAGAGTCAAGTTGTGAAAAAACTCTGCAATTGGGGAGAGCAAAAAGCTGTTCAGAAGCTGAGGGGCAACTCTTTCAGTCAGGTCTGAATTGCAGGTGTGCGTCTTTGCTTTGAACAACTCTCTGTTGATTTTGCTAGGGACAACGGGTGAGTTTGAATCTTCTTGCTGCTTTGAAGCACCGAGATCAAATGCCTGCCCTTGCTGGAGCTAACAGTGCTGTTACTGCTCCGGGTTTTGCTGTTTCAGCAGGGATGCGCTAGTCTTGGAGATACTGATACGCTCTTGTCCTGATGAATGAGCAGATCTGGATGGCGTTCAGCATCTTTTTTCAGACCTCAGTCTTTGTCCGAGTGATGGGTGTCCTTTTTGGGTATTTCTCATCCCAGCTGCTTGCAGATTTCCAGTGGGAGCCAAAGCAGTTGCGTGTATGGAAAGCTGATGTTGTGGTATTTATTGAGTGGAATCTACAAGCTGGAAACGGGGAGGGAGGCTGAGCACCAAGTACCCAGCCTGGTTTTGGAAATGGTTGTTGATCCTGGGTAACAGTTGCAGGTACAATATTTGTAGCCATCTTCATGCACACGAGTTATGCAGAGAAGCCTGGGAAACTTGAATTCTGCAGGACAGAAGTGGCTTACCCTCATGACTGCATCCGCTATCTCCACTGCAAATCCAAGCAGACATTACTTTTGTGTTTTCACGCTTTTCTTAAGCATCAAACCTCCGCGTAGCTCAAACCAACCTTGCTTCTTCATCTCTGTGCTAATCGCTGTTGCATGGAACGGCTTGTTTATAGAATATCTCCGAGATGTGGGCCATGGTGAAACAAATGACCGACGTTAACCTGGTTCCTGCGAGCGATGCCTTGAAAGTCCGGACCAACATGGAGGTGCGTATGGAGTTCGTGAGGCAGGCTCTGCGCTACCTAGAGCAAAGGTAAGGCCCGTGCTCCGAGCAGCACAGTTAATGGAGTCCCCTCCTAATAAGTCAGAATGACTTTGTAATGCACACAATCCTATTAACAAGCTTAACAGGAGGGTCCTGTTGCCCATCTTTTCAGTTCTGCATGGCTTAGAGCAGCCACTTGAGTTTAAAACTGTTTTAGTTAAAAACTGCTCTAGTTAAAAAGGCCTTGAATCCATGGGGAGGTTGTTTAGAAGATGCAAAGACCTTTTATTCTTTCTTCTGCGTTGCCGTTATCACTATGACAGATTTAGAATATTTATGTGAAGATTTTTCACTTGTGAAGAGAGATCTATTTCCCCTCTGCAAAAAAAAAAATAATAAAAAACAAATCCCCTGTCAGGAGCTAGTGCTGGGAGGAAGCAAGGACATTGCTGGGGACAAATCTGCTGCAGTGAGTCAGGTTCCGATCACGCCGATTCTACGCTGAAAGGTTTTTTTGTTAAATTGGAAGAGGCTGAGGCATCTAGCGATGATTTTCAGACTCGGGGGAAGTGGTTTACTGTCTGTATCAGCAAGTATCACAGGGGCTAAGCTCCTTAACCAAGAAAATGCTCGGCTGTGGGAGCAGCCCGGAGCTGAATCCCCAGATGGCCGCATCACCTCTTCGCTGCACGTGTGGGTGTTGCAGCGTCTCTTCTCTGGTGGGTGCGACGCGATGCCAGCAGGCTCGCTTGGCAGTGGGAAGCAAACAATAGCTGCAGCATAGCATGTGGGCGTTTGTTACGGCTTCAGACCCGCCGTCGGAGCACGCGAGGCGCTGTGCTCCCATCCAGCGCTCTGGGAAGAGGTGTCTCCCCTCCTGGCACAGCCTCCTCTTGGCCCCTGAGCTCGTTGTCACCTAGGGGCATGGTGGCTGCCAACGCTTCGGAAGGATCAGCTGCTTCCAGTTCCTCAGTCTCGGCAGCATGTGATCAGCCAGGGGCTCTTAGCCTTGTTTGCCAAACATCCAACCTGCTAGATTTTTGCAGTGCTGTTAACTGCTAATTAAAATTAGGAATTAGTTACGTATAGTTCCCTACCAAGTGTGGAAATTTGGCCTTTCATGCCTTATTATTTATTATTATTATTATTATTTGTAAAACCAAACTTGTGTCTTGCTTTATAGCCTTTCTTTCCTATCAGAAATTGGCTATTACTGGGGTATTTCCATGCCTTGCCAGCCCTGCACACGTACAAGGAGGAGATGTAGTACTGCCCACAGCTGTTCTGGCATTTATTGCTTTGGAATCTATCATGTGCTGCAGAGAAAAGAACAACTTTGTATAATGTATTGCTGTTATTTATATAAGTATTACTTCAGTGTGCAGACTTTGGAGATTCCAGAGTCTAAACATGAGTTTTTGTTAAATTGATCTGCCTTGATTAAAGGCTTTGATGGGTTATTTTGGAAGGTGGTCTGAAAGCTGCCTTTACCAATTGCTTTTCTCTAAATTCCCCTTTCCTCTGCAATTTCCATCTGGTAAGTCCATACCCTACAAATGCAACCCCTACAGTTTGTATTTGCCCATGGGGCAGGGAGGAAAGGCAAACGCATCTGTGGTGTTCAACTCTCCTTTTGTGACAGGGCGGAGAGTTAGGAAGGCAAGGCTTTTTGCCAATGACATAACTGAGTTTAAGTTAGTCCTTGGAGAACCTGGTGAGAGGAAAATCGTAACGAGGAGCAGGGCCTGGAGCAGTGCTCCACAGACTCCAAACGTGGTGTCTCTGGAGACCGCTGAGTACAAGAATCTTCTTAAATCGACAGAAGCTTTTGCCTCGTTTTTGTTGTAATGGTGATTGAACATCGAGGCAGTTTGCTTTAGGTTGCTAATTCTCTTGAATCCGAAAGGCAGCAGATGTTTTTGTAGCAAGTATGTTCCGGCCTGTTCAACATTCTTTTTGCTTATGTTGTCTTTCAGTTACAAAAATTACACCTTTGTGACAGTCTTTGGCAACTTGCACCAGGCTCAGCTGGGTGGAGTCCCGGGGACCTACCAGCTTGTCCGCAGCTTCTTGAACATCAAACTCCCGGCACCCGTCCCTGGTCTCCAGGTACGTCCATCACTCCCAGTTACTGAGCTCCACTGCAAGGCAGCTGGTGCAACCTCCAGTGGTTTTTGTGTTGTTTGAACTGCTTTTAAGGCAGCTGGCTCTTATTCTTTCTCTAGAACTGGAAAGTGGAAGATAGCAGACAATGTCATATCGAGTTCTGAACTAGTCCTGAGGCATGGATGGTGCTCAGTAGTTTTAAATTCTGGAAATTATGGTTTCTTCTGGTGGTCTTTTTAGAGATCAACTCGCAAGTACTAAATATGATATTTCAAAAAAAGCAGTAGGAATCTTCCTGCCGTGCTTTTTCTCTTTTTGTGCTTTTACTATAAGATGGTGACACCAGATGCTGATGACTAAATATGTAATGAATTAATCTGAGTCGTAGCCTGACGCGTTTATTTAGGAATCTGAATAAAATCCTCACCTGCACATAGTAGAAAGTGCACCTATAAAATCAGCAGATAAACAGGCAGGCTGAGTTGAAAAGTTCAATGAAATATTAATAAATTATAATATTGGAGACCACATAGCTGAGTCTGGCTGTCCTTTTCTTACGTGCTGAGATCCGTGAGTAGTTTAGTATCTTTCTGGTTTAGAACAAACGTTTTTAATACCTTAGTGGTCTAATTCAAATCCACCTCCTAGGTAAGGAGGATCTTATATGCTAGTTCTGGGATTGTCAGAGCCTCGCTCAGAATTGGCACTGGGGCAAGCAAAAGAGAGTCCTGTCCTTTGCTGCTGGGGTGTGCATGGCTTTCACCGGACTTAAACTTCATGACCTCTGGCTTCTGTAGCACAAACAGAATTTTCTGCCAAAATCCCTGTGTGGGTAAAAGGATGGAAGTAATGGATGAGGCAACTGATAAAGGAAACTGATGATGATTTTTTTTGACGAAAAATTTATTTCTTATTTTATTTTCAGGATGGTGAGGTGGAAGGCCATCCTGTCTGGGCACTGATTTACTACTGCATGCGCTGCGGAGACTTGACTGCTGCCATGCATGTGGTGAAACGGGCACAGCACCAGCTGGGAGAGTTTAAATCCTGGTTCCAGGAGTACATGCACAGCAAAGATAAAAGGTAATTGCGAACTAGGAGAGATCTTTGTGAGGGGCAGGAATTCCTGTGGAGTGGTGAAATAGTCTGTGGCTTGGTGGAAATAGAAGCAGCTCTGCTTTCTTCTGGTGGTGATGGCTGCCTGGGCTTTATACTACCTGCCTAAATTGCATGTAAGAAGTTTTTACATATTATAATTTGTGGCTTTGAAGTCTAAAAATCTCTGTAGAGAGACAGTTGTTTGAAAATAGGCAAAAATCTACATTTCAAAACTAATACAGTGGTGTAGCTTTGCTTTTTTTACCATGGGATCTGCCCCATGTAACGGTAGGATACTACATACAATAGATCAGCTTTAGGCTGCTGTCACGAATCTTGTGTCTTTTTATTTCCCCTGTCGCTTATTTTAGTTGGATTTCCTTTGGGGAAGGCTTTTTACTACACCTGTCCTGTAAGAATGCCAGGCTGTAAAAGCCAGTGGTGTTTGTTAAAGGCTATGTGAGAGGGAACGCCTTGAATATTTCTTCTGCTTTTTCTCTCCCGGTTTTTGCTGCCCATCACTCGACAGAGGCCACTGACCACACGGTACTGGCTGTGTGGTTGCGAATGGTTGAGTTAGCGGATGTTAAAGTGTGCTCCTCTAGGGTGTTTTAGAGAGAGGAGGGGGGAAAAAAAGAATCAGTGCCATTTACTGAGCAGTGTACACTGTGCTCTTCCTCTGGAAATGAACCTGGTTTGCAGAGAATGTCTGGGAGCGCTCTTTATGAGCAGATAGTTCCAGAAAGCTCAGTGAAGGTACTGGCATTGTTTTCATTACAAACACTTTAATGAGATACAGTGTAATTGATTTATGTTGTTTTTGTTACAGCTATGGGGAGGTACTCTGCCTACAGATTTGACAAACAGTGTCCTAGTCTAGGAGAACGTTTTATTGATTTAATTCTGTAAAATTCTCTACGAGAGGGTACAAGAAATGCAATGACAAAAAACATTATGACAGTATTTAATGATAAAGATGAAAACGTCTCTTCTAAAAGACTTATGATACGACTGCTCAGTTGTCATTTATTAACCCAAAGAGTTCTAAAGACTTTGTGAGCTTTCTTTTTCTGAAACAATGAAATAGCAGAGTCAGACAAAAATAGCTCATCCACCACAATGTTAATACGCCCCTGAAGAGACTATCATCTAATTTTTTTTCTATTCCTGCAAGAGGTACTTGAGGATGATCTTCCATAATTTTTTTTTTCCTTAGGTTATCTCCTGCCACAGAAAATAAACTGCGCCTTCATTACAGACGAGCTCTGAGAAATAACACTGACCCCTACAAAAGGGCTGTGTATTGTATCATTGGCCGTTGCGACATCACAGATAACCAGAGCGAGGTTGCTGATAAAACAGAAGATTATCTTTGGCTCAAGGTAGGTGTGGCGTTGGGGAGAGGTGGCGTTTGTTGGATTTTTTCTCTTTTTGTTTTTTTTTTTAAAGAACAGGTCTCAGCAGTATTGCCTTTCTGCAGTGCTCTGCTATCCTCCCTCTATGCAGCGTAGGGTGTTTCACATCAACGCAGCAGTTCTGAGTTGACCTTGCAGGGAGTGAAGGGGCTGCTCCGTTACCCTCTGCACTGTCCAGCGTTCATTTGGAGACACTTGTCTTTGAATGAAGAACAGGACACTTTCAACACTGATCTTTGTCAGCTCTTTTTACAAGTAATATTAGCTTGCTACAGTGAGGATCCTCTGAATTTTCTTTTCTGGATGGATTATGGCTGAAAGATTGGTGTCAGTTGGCAGAAGACGACACCGTCCACATCTCTGTAGTCCAAGGACCCTAGAGTTTTGGTAGGGGCGTGATAGGTACTGGTCAGTGTGTATTTCTCCCCTTTACCGGAAAGAGGGAGTAGAATGATGTATTTTTTAAGACCGGGTCAGAGACTCAGCAGCAGAGTTTGATGGCCTGGACAGGTACAGAAGGACCCTGGGTTATATCTCTGTGGATTTCTGCTGTTGCTACAGGAGAGATCTTCACTTCCCAGCAACAGATGCACCTGATATTGCAACTAGAAGTAGCTTGTAGTCAGTTGGTCAGATCTTAGGAGGGCCTTCAGGTGGAACGAGTATCTTCTGAATGCGTCCTTTGTGCAAGGGGAAGTTGAAATGTCTGCGTTTCTTTTTTTTTTGGATTTGTTTTTTCAGCTGAGCCAAGTGTGTTTTGATGACAATGGCGCAAGTTCTCCACAAGACCGACTAACGTTATCGCAGTTCCAGAAGCAGCTGCTAGAGGACTACGGTAAGAAACTAAAGAGGTGTGAGGGGCTCTGCTTGTCTGCTTAGGGAGCTTTCCAACCGTTCTTACACAAACCCCAGACTGTCTGTAAAACCCGATAGCTCCCTGCTGCTCACAGGCATCTTCCAGGGACAACCTGCTTCCCTCGGGCAGCGGCAGGCTTGGGAAAGATGTGATGAGCAGATCCTCTGTGTTCCCAGCAATCCGGAGAGCCAATATTCATCTGTGAACACACTATTGCTACTTGGGCTTTATCTGCACTAAATCATGGATTGTTTTCTATCACCACCAACGTGCTAAAAACTTTCAGAATACAGAATAGAAAAGCAATCGTTACCTAACGTAGGTGTCTGTCTCCAAGGTTTTTTCCTGTGTGCGTCCAATTTTTATTGTTTCCTTTAAATTTCTGTTTCTAGTAGTTCTCTGGGGACCCAAGTCACAGTTCCTTCCACTTCAGAAGGTTTTAGGAACATCCACAGCCCAAGAGAGTACCTTTTCCCCTAACCATCTTCCAGTCAGGTCTATCCAAAACACAGAATTTCATTTCCATAGCCTTCTAGTTTTGTAGCATCGCTCACGCCCATATAAAAAGGTGTGGGAAAGCTACCATTCGTGTCACTGAGTAGGAAAATCCAGGTTTTTAAATTACTTGTACCACTTGGTGTAAGTGTGTAGATGTGGTCTTTGGAGAATCGACTGCAGTCTGTCCGAGCTGATGCTTCCTTGTGTGGAAAGAACAGAGGAACTTTTCTGAGCAACCGTTTATTCTCTTTCGCTTCCCAAATATGTCTTTACTCCAAGTCTTTTGTGATAGATTTGCAGCGAAATGGTTATAGATAAGCCACTGATGTGTGATTAGATATTCAGTTTTGTCTAGAGTGTTTATTTCTGTTGACACCGAATAAACAGCAGTGATGTGTTGTGACAGGAAGCATCCACTGTGAGCTCATTGCAAAAGCATTTTCACTCATGCTCTATCTGTGGTCATGTTTGTTTTGTGGTTGTGGTTTTTTTTGCAGGTGAATCACATTTCGCAGTGAACCAGCAGCCTTTCCTCTACTTCCAAGTATTGTTCTTGACAGCGCAGTTCGAAGCTGCAATTGCTTTTCTCTTCCGGACGGAGCGCTTGCGTTGTCATGCCGTTCATGTCGCGCTGGTCCTGTTCGAGTTAAAATTGCTCCTGAAATCTTCTGGGCAGAGTGCGCAGCTCTGTGAGTCCTGCACCTTTTTACTTTACGATACAGAAATGTTCTCTGAGCCCTTGTGTACGCTGTAGATGCTGCTGGTGTGTGTAACGGATCAAACAAACGACAGTTATCAAAACCATCTCCTAAAAGTTAATTGTTTAGTTGTGTTAGAGCACTGGATCGCGGCTCTGACTAATTTCAGAGCAATTTTTCCTGGCATTAGCCTTGCTGATAGTGCTGTTTCTGACCTTGCAGTAAGCCACGAAGCTGGTGACCCTCCTGGCATCAGGCGTCTAAATCTCGTGCGGCTTTTGATGCTTTACACCCGTAAGTTTGAATCTACGGATCCGAGGGAAGCTCTGCAGTACTTTTACTTCCTCAGGTATGTTAATATATGTCTCTAGATTTTCTCCTAGTTATCACTGCTCAATTATTCTTATCTGGGAAGTGCTCGGAGTGCTTTCCTCCTTCCCTTTTTTATTTTTTTGTAGGAATGACAAGGACAGCCAAGGAGAGAATATGTTCTTGCGTTGCGTTAGCGAACTAGTAATTGAAAGCAGAGAGGTACGTTTGGCCACGTTTTGTCTTCCTTGCTGACACCAAAATTCATTTCTTCATTGAAATCTGCTTTAAGCAGGACAGTGTGAAGCAGTTTTTTATCCTTCCAGCCTTGATGCATACCTAGATGATGGGAAATCTTACAGCAACCATACATTTAAGAGATTTAACCGTGTCTTTTTGCCTATTAAATATCTACCAATAATTTTGACATTGATCACTGTTATTCATTCACCCATGACTGCATCTTTGTACTTAGTAGATATGTTGTGAAATATGTGCAATTCATCTTTGATTTTGTTTCCTTTTTACATACAGTTTGATATGATTCTTGGAAAGCTGGAAAATGATGGTAGCAGGAAGGTGAGTTGACACTTGATGTTTATGTTTTACATGGAAGGTACAAACCACCTATGGTTTCCATGAGGTTATCTTGCTTTTCCTTCGTTTTTCACTGCCAAATTATTACTGTGTTGGAATACACGAGTTGTCCAAGTACGAGACCTTTTTACAAAATATTCTCTGAATATTTCTAGTGCAAACTATGCATCACATTTCTCCTCTGAGGTGAAGGAGATAATGTCTCACAGCCCATTAAAAATCCTTGTAATTAGGGCAGCAAAGGCTAACAGGTACAGCCACACCTGATCTGTCCTCTCCATACAGGTGAGGGTAAGTGTTGGATCAAAGGTCAGCAGTATTTAGTTGCGACAGATCTTGCAGCTGCTGTAAAAGCAGTAATCTAAAAGTAAAATACCAGCTTTACGCAGTCAGAAGATAAAGGAAACTTTAAGGTTTCGCCTGAAAAGAGGAGAGTGCATGCAAATTATTAAAATTTTAGATAATCAGTGAAGTTTGCTGTTTGTTGCGGCAGCTTTGGAAGTTTTCTGTGTAGAGCAAACTCCGTAACTGTTATCTTAAAATTAAGATTGAGGTTCATGATGCAGTCATTGCTACTGTCAAAAAAAAGAGGTGGCAAAAAAATTATTTCCGGCAGCTTTGGGTTTTTTTGGATGTTTTTGTTCTGTCTGTTTAAAAGCAGTAAGATTGCACACATGAGAGGAAGCTACCTCAGTGATCTTTACAAATACTTTTTTGCTTTACCGTTCTTTGCAAGATGCATAGTTTTTAGATTATACCATTAGTGGTGAGTCCTGTTTTCCTGACTTCACTCGATTCCTTTTAAACCCAAGTGTCTTGTTTCTGTGGTATGGAACCAGCGATCTTAGTTTTAAAATAAATTCTTTTAGATGATAGTCTTATTTTTACCTTCAAAACTACAGTAAAATCCTTTCCAGATATCCTTGACTCTTTCTTCTCTCTTATCTTACTGGAGTTCGTTATTTCTTTTAAAATTCTTGCAGCCTTTTTACTTATTTGTGTAAAGTTGCACTTGCAACCTGTCGTGCCGAGACACACAAACAGCATCCCTGGAGACCCTGGCATGTTACACGCTGAAGTCTTGTGTTTTCTTTTCCTGTGTAATGTGCCATCAGCAATTCAAATAAATTAGAATTTCTCCTGTTATCTGGGTCATTCTGAAGGAATTAGGAACTGCAGATGTCTCAGCGCTGACTCCGTTTCGGAGAAAGTCTCACTCACAAGAGCTATTTTTAACGCGTCTCTTTTGCGTGTTCCCATGGAAATGTACAGACCATTCTAATCATAATCCGACGTGTAAAATATTCATTGCCTTGACAGAATATTCGTGAGATTTTAAGCATTCTGACTTCTCCTCTTCCGTTTTTGTCTCACCTCTTTAGCCTGGAGTGATAGACAAGTTTACAAGTGACACAAAACCCATTATTAACAAAGTGGCTTCCGCAGCAGAAAATAAAGGGTTGTTTGAAGAAGCTGCCAAGCTTTATGACCTTGCCAAGGTAAATATCCCCTATGTGCTGCCTTAAATATGTACCTGGTTCACCATTTATTTTTTTTTCTAAACGTTCTCCCTGTGATTAGGAGGTTAAATTTAATGTTGGAGATTGAATTGCCCTTATTCAAGCAGGTTATTTCTGCTGTTGGCTGCATGGAGAGGGGAGTTCAATGAGCAAACCCAGATGGATTCTGCTCCAGCCTGCTCTGATTTTCAACGTCCTAGCTCTTGATCAGTGTGGGCTTTTGAAGAGCTTGCCCCGTGCATGATTTTATTCTGGCTAGTGAAGATTTTTTTACCTGGAGTGTGCTCTTTCAATTTCATGGATGTTGAATCGAAACCTAAACTAGTTGGGCTTTATAGTGGGTACTTCTGTTTCCTTTTGAAATAGAAGTGGGTACAACCATAGCGACTGGTTTAGAGGAAAATTAAGAGAAAATACTTCTTCACAGGAGCTAGCAGCATTATGTTGCTCATGGCTAATCATGGTCCTGACTTCATGGGAGGGAGGCGTCTGAGCTTGCAGTAGGTGCCACTGAATGAGACCTTTCTGCTTTTCCAGAGAGTTTAAAACTAAGTCTCACTGTGCTCCCTTCATTTGTGTGTAACTTTAATTCTGACAGAACCCTGACAAAGTTTTGGAACTGATGAACAAGCTCCTCAGCCCCGTCGTTCCCCAGATCGGCACTCCCCAGTCGTTGAGGAACATGGCTCATTCCATCGCTGAGAGGTAAAGCAGAGGGGGTGAGGCTGGCTCATTTTGCCTGCACCTCACCTTGGACTGTCAGTTCAGGGGGATATTAGTTCATGATTTTCTTTCTGCTGGCTGGACCACGGCGTCCACAGCAATGCATTCGAGAAGAGGTCAGAGTTTATCCCATCCTGACTGGGATGGTTTGCAGTACTGAAACCAGAAATACCATCTCCGGGGTGTGTATATGACCAGTGCAACCAGCGGAGCTCATTTCCACGGTCTGTGACTGTAGGAAAGCACCATGTGGCGTTTAGAAAAGAGAGAGAAATGGAAGCGACCAAGAGGAGTGTCACTGCAGCATCGGTGTGCTGGTTAGGATATGTGTCTGAGACGTTATCGGTGCTCGAGGTTCATTAGCAAGTACAAGTAACCAGCTTCTGAAAGGTCGTGATTGCAAAATAACTTGGGCATTTTTAAGATCATCTTCTTTTGGTGCATCTCGTCGCAGAGACTGCCATGGACGATTCCTATACTTCACCCTGGCAAAATGTGGGTGCCTGCGAGAAGTGTCTTACTGCTTTTCCTCAACCGTCCCGGTGGGGAGAGAATAAAGATAAAGCAGGCACGCTTGCTGGCACTTCAAAATTGGCAAGACGGGTGCAAAAACATGTTGATTTCAGTCGGAGGCCTTTGCCTTTCTCCTTTTTCTGTGGTGTTTGCTGGTCACTCCTTCGGCCAACTTCTCCTTCGTTTAGTCAGGCTGCAGACTGAGTGCAGATTGGTCCTGCAGACTTAGCGAGAGACATCACAGAGAATTAAACTTATGGCTTGAGTTTAAGCTTCAGCGAAGGCTGTAATGGGCTTTGTTTTGCTACTTGCTTTGATCTGTGTGAGAGCGCTAAATATTACCACGCCGTAATGCCATTTACAACTCCAAACCTTCACGGCTGCAAAGCCAGAGCGCTTCTGATGAGCTCCTCTTCTTGCCAGCTCAGTGTACCTCAGGGCATTTCTCTGTGGACCGTGCTGTAGCCATGCAACTTCCCTCCTGCCTGCTCTTGGGAGGGTTTTGGAGCAGGGGAGGTGCCCAGGAGGCTCTCGGGCTTCCTCCTCTGCAGCAGCACGGTGCGTCCCATGCACTTGGCCACTCTTACCTTGAGGAAGGAGCTCCTTTCTGCCCTTGTGCTGTTAGGAGCAAGAGCAGCCAGCCCTCACAATTCCTAGAGAGAGCCTGCAGAACCGTCTAATCCGTTTTTGAGTCTTACCTTCTTGCCCGAAGCAGGCAGAAGTGCTGGGGAATTGTCCGCTGTAAAGCGGGGTGTTAAACGCTCTCATACAGCCCCTGCCTTGCAGGGCTCTCGTTCCTGTCGCTGTTTTCTGTGGGCATGTGGGAAGTGTAAGTGTCTGAAAGGAAACAAATGCTGGGTTTGATGGGAAACTAGAAGTGAACAAAAGTATTTTTAACAAAGCCATGGCCTGTTCTGCCAAGTTCTGCCTCCTGGTTAAGGAAAATTAAAGCTGTCCTTTGTTAGATGCCTTCTGTCCTTGTGCTTGATGTCTGTGCTTCCAGGAATTTGCAAGAGCACATTTGTAAACGCTTGCCGTTTTGTGCAACAAAATTGTAAAACAATTTCTTTCAGGTACAAAGCTCAGGGGATAAGCGCAAAGAAATCCGTTGACTCCACGTTCTACCTTCTGCTAGACTTAATCACGTTTTTTGATGAATATCACGCCGGTCACATTGACAGAGCCTTTGATGTAAGTTTTAAGAGTTTTGTTTGAAGTGCAGCCTTCCTAATGCCCTTGAAAGCCCAGAGTGTCTCAAGTAACGTCACTTTAAAAGTTACATTTAATGTGTTAGAAGGGGCTGCAGTGCTCTAGGAACTTAAAAATGCGTTTCTTCCCTGTTACTTTGATAATCAGGAAGATCTTTTGGAGCTGTTCTGTAGACATTGAACAACATATTCCTGCGGCTCAGCAAAGTGAGGAGATAAAACAGTCAATAACAATGAAATGATTTCTCTTTAATGGAATTAGGAGCATTTCATTAACACTTCAAAACCATATTTTATTAGTATATGGTACGTAGACTGTTGATTATCTACCCTGATTCCTGCTTTTCTTCTTGAAGATTATTGAACGCCTAAAGCTTGTACCTCTTAGCCAAGATTGCGTAGAGGAGAGAGTTGCTGCCTTCCGGAATTTCAGTGACGAGGTAAGTAACATCTCTTGGTTTTAGTTTCCAAAAGCTCTTTGCTTTAAGAGGATTTTAAAACCTTGTCATCTCATCATTCTTATTCTCTTACGGGGAAATAGGACGGAATTATTTTGCAATCGTACAAGTAGACTCTTGACTAGCAACTTCTTTTTTGTTCTGCTAGTTGGAATTCCCTACCCAGAAATCCTGTCTTCATTTTGCAGTTGGCATCTGCACATCTGGATCTCTCTGAACTTACTGAGCTCGACTCCAGAATTCAGACTATTGAAAGCTTTCAGCTGTGCGTAGTTCTTGTGTGCTCTTAATGGCCACAGAGCATTTGTAGGATCTTCCAGTTTCCTTCCCTCCGAGTTAGAGGAACTCAGATTTGCGTGTTGGAAGGTGGAGCATGTGAAGCATAAGGGAAGGCGATTATTGCTCTTGAACTGTTTTAACTAGAGGATTTGTGTGTATTTGGGAGCTTTGGACTTTTTTTTTTGTTCAGGTGTGTTGGGTTTTACCTGAGCGGTTGCTGTCAAACATGAAGGTGCAGCCGTTACACCACGCTGGCCTCACAACTCTGGGTAGCTTTACCAGATGCTGCAGTAACAGCAGGAGTAACCATTAAACTACTCTCTTTTTTTTTTTTCTCCCCACACTTCTTTGTGTAGATCAGGCACAATTTATCGGAGGTCCTGCTTGCAACCATGAATATTTTATTCACCCAGTATAAGAGGATGAAAGGCACAAGCCCAGCCACTCCTGCCAGACCCCAGCGGGTGATGGAAGACAGAGATTCGGTAAGATTATAATCCTCCCTGACAAGTTTTCATACTACTTTTTCCTCCTGATTTCAAGGGATTGGGCTTCAAATAACTGTGAATCCGTAATGGTCTTGGCTTTTGACTTGCTCAGTTACTTCAAGTATTAGACTACTCAGCTCGCTCAGTTACTTAGTCTTGAAGCCGATGCCTCATAACTTGAGCTCTGTGTGAAGGAAGGATGTTGCTTTAAATGGCTTTGAGCTAAATCAAGTGTATTATTACACCATGGATCCACCTCTTAGGAAGAGAGGAGTGATCAGTTTGCTTCTCGATGGAGTCTTAAGTAGTTAACAGAAGCGGACAGTGCAGGGTCTCTAGGATGGTTGGTGCTGCTGCCCTGACAGCTGAGCTGTTGTTTTTCAAGCACCTGATTTTCACTTGTTTCATTTGTGTTACTACCCTGTTGGTGCAAAACTCCTTTCTGGTGGAAATATCTTCCTTGACTCCTTGGCTTGCTTCTGCAGTGACGTGGGCTGACGTTTTTGGTCGATGCCCCAAGATACTTGAGTACATTCCCTTGGTGAATGGCAGAGGCGGTTGGCCCGAGGTGTTGTGCTGCCTCTGCAGCACAGCGGGCAGCTTCCAGGCAGCGCTCAATCTGTAAATGGCAATATGAGTAAAAGTCTTAAGAGCGTTTTTAAATTACATCAGAAAATGAAAGGCTCAAGTGATGATACAGCTCTTGTCTTTGCAGACTCTTACCTTGGGTTTGTGATTTCAGCCTCGTGTCTCTAGGGGTGTAGTGTGGTCAGGTGTCACCCCGGTGGGGATATCAGGGCCTGCCAAAGATTGTTGAGCTGGTTGGCGGTAGAATCGGCAACTTTGCTGGCAGGAGTTTGGGCAGAATTAGCACGATCCTGCTAATGTAGGATTAGCTATTGAGACGGGGGAAAAAAACAAACTCCAGCCCTGCAGCTCCCTGCTGCCTCAAGATTTGCATGCGCAGAAAAATACCAAGCACGGGCAGCTGGGAGGTAGGCTAAGAATAGCTTTAGCACACATTCCCCTTTTTTCTTACCCTGAAGACTTTCCTCTGAGCCGGTGGGAGAAGGAAGTGGAGATCGCTTGGGTTTCTCTGTCTGGGAAACAGCTCGGGCGGCTTTAGTGGTGGGAAGAAACGAGGGCCTTTCAAATGTGAAAAAAGAAGTGTCTCTTCAGCAAAACCTGAACAGAGACAGCAGATACAAACTTCTGCAGGCTGGGCTTGGCAAGACTTTTTCCGCTGGACTTCCCTGGGAGAAAAGGAGCTCTTGCTTTTTTTTTCCCCATAGGGAAGCAAATTTTATCGAAAAAAAATTGTTTATTTCAGAATTATATTACCCAAGATGTCCTTTGGGTATTTTTTTTTTTTTTAAATGTATATACATTAATTAGTTTGGGGCTTGAGGGAGCAAAGCCTTGTCCCATTTGTCAGATTTCAGGCAGAGACTGCCCCAAGCCTGGACTGCAGCACAGGAAACCGCGGCTGCGGTGACAGCCCTGACCCAGATGCTGCGAGTGCCTGACAGCAACGTCCTGCGCTCCCTGCCCTGATCCGATCCGGGGTGGTGAACTCTCCCAGGCAGCCCAAGGGCATTATCTCAGCAGCAAAATTAGGTCATGAAAGGAATGGAATTTTTTTTTTTTTCTTTTAATTTGCGGTCTTATTTTAAATCGCAAGTGACTCTAACATTTGTTAAGTAATTACAGCCAATGGAACATCTAGACCTCCAGGCCGCTCTTAACCTCTGCAAACCTATTTGTTCTTCCCAAAGAATTGCAACCTATCGTGGTGTTATTGATTTTTAAAAATAAACATCGTTTCATTGCTACTGCAAAGGTAAAGGGAGCGGTAACCTGCAGTGCTCCCAGGCCTTTCTTAGTCACTGAGTTGTTGCCTCTTAATATTCTGATTGTGAAGAGAAAGACGCCTGGATGTGCCATTTTATTATTTTTTTTTTTAGTCTATGACCTGTTTTGACCTCCACCGAGCAGCAGCAGGTCAGACGTAATGACACGACCTCGCTGTGCAACAGGTTTGGAATCAGACTAGAAGAAATGTTGGCTGTGAGCGGGACTGCACAAGCCCTTTTCAAGTAGCCAACTCCCTGGTGGTCACTCACAGCTTGGGGGTGCTGGCCTGGGAGCTCTCAGCAGTGGGGGCAGCCTCTGTTCTGCAACCGAAGCTGCTGTGGCTTTCCCTGCAGCAGCCAGTAGGTGAAAGGAAGATCCGAACGGTGGGATCTTCTTAGTACGGTGATTTAGAGATGCTTCATAATTAAGAAGGAAACAGTGCGGGATCAGAACAGCCTGCACGGTTTGGTTAAGGTTGGAAGGGGCCTTGAAGATCATCTCGTTCCAACCCGCTGCTGTGGGCAGGGACACCTCTCTCCCACCAGCTCAGGTTGCTCCCAGCCCCATCCTACCTGGCCTGGGACACTTCAGGGATGGGGCATCCACACCCTCCTTGGGCAGCCTGTGCCAGTGCTTCTCCACTCCCGTGGTGAAGATTTTTTTCCTTATCCCTAATCTAAGTCTACCCTCTTGCAGTTAAGATTCAGACTTTCTGCCTTCCCCTGACTTCTGCCACTTGCTGGAATGATTTTCCTTTTAATTTATCAACGGGGTTGAGAAACGAAACAAGTTATTCCCAAATTCCTTGAGCCTTTAAGGATTGTCGGGAGGTTGTAGGTGACGCTGGAGACCTCCAGGTGCTTGTGGCACCACCAGTTTGTTTCCAGTGCTTCTCCTTTGAGGCTTTTAATGCCGCATTCCAGTGGGGTCAGCTTGGTATTTTGCAAGGTGGGAAGGAGTCCTGTTGCCCTGGGAAAAGCCCACTTCGTGCAGAAATTACAAGATTGCTGCAGGCCAGCAACTCCACTTGTCATTGAAAATGTTTTGCCTTAGGTCATTTTGAATAAATGGGATTTATTTATTGTTATCTTTTAAGCAAAAGGATAACTCAACATGCTTTTAATGGTTGGAGAAGGAAATAATTGGATTTCCTTCCAAATGCAGCGATACATCATCCAGAGAGCGACTCTGGGAGATAAACGTTTGCCCTTTCATACAAGCAAATATAATCTTTAACTCAGGTCCAACTCAGCTTCCGGGGTGGGGGGGGGCCGGCGCCGAGGGGGGGTGGGGGGGGGGGGGGGGGTGTGATACTGAAATAATACTTTTTTTTCTCCTGTTTTTTAGCAACTTCGCTCTCAAGCCCGTGCGCTGATAACGTTTGCTGGGATGATCCCTTACAGAACGTCGGGAGACACGAACGCGCGACTGGTGCAGATGGAGGTCCTCATGAATTAGGGGAGAAGTGCTTGCTTACGGTTGCAGCAACCTGTGCCTGTCGTTAGTATGTTCAGAGGGTGGGACCAGTATCGTTTTTGTATTCTGTATTTTTGTTGACAGAAATAAATTTCTTTGATTTCTATTTGTTTTTGACATTTTCATTTTCACCGATTTTTTTTTTTTTTTTTTAGTTTTTCCCTTGTATGTGTGTGTTTTCTGTTCTTATCCATTTTATTTTAAATTGGTTTATAATCAGAAAACTATTCTTCGTTAGTTAAGGGGCTGTGCAGAGAAAGAAGTCGCAGATCTGCTGTAGGGAGATTTGATAGCAGAAGAGGAAGTGGAGAAGAAAGCTTCTGGTTTGATGCTGAACATAGAGCTCGGGGTTCTTGATTTGGAATGCGTGTTACATGTTGAAAATCTGTTTACGATCCAGCACACATGTGGCACTGCTGTCAGTCCGCGACATCGTCTTGCGTCTTGTTTATGCGGTGGAATTGCTCTCTGTGTGATGTTTAAACTCTTGGGTCGGTGTCTCGGATGCTCACAGCTCTGCGAACCCTGGAGCTCTGCTCCCGCAGCTGGGATTGAAAACAGGTATATTTCTGGTAGGAGAGAGTTTTTGTGTGTGGTTTTTTTTGTTATGATCGACACATGGGATTTACAGCCAGTTGCATTCCAAGTGACCCCATCCTGAGTTCACCAGGAGGAGCCGATCGGAGAAATCCAAGTGTGGGTGCGCTGCGTGTGGGTGGGTGTTACTGTTGGCTTAATGGGAAACCTGAGTCCCAACGAAGTGAGGAGTGTTAAAAAATGGTTTAACTCCAAATGGTTTGAGCTCCAGTTAAATCTCTGTGAAAGCCCAGGGAAGCATGTTGTAGCATAAGCATTTCTCTCTATTTTGAAATGAGGTGGAAGGAACGTTGGTGGTCGCTCTGACCTTCCACCGCGGCTGCTGCCTCCACCCTCGCACGGTTTGTGTTCCTGGAACATGAGAGCTTGGGCGGTTCTGGAAACAGAACAGGCAGCTAAAATGTTGGGGGCCCATTTCAACCTTTGCGTGTCGGTGGCTGTTGCGGGGAAGAGCTTACATGCAGTGACACTGCACTGCACGCCAGGGGCATTTGGAGAGTTGCCAGGGGCATTTGGGGAGCTGCCAGGGGGATTTGCTTTTAGAGGGCGATTGAACTGCCGTAACAAAACACAAACAGGTGAGTGTGCGAAGCTTTTCTAGTTCTTAACGTTTCTGGCATGTTCATGTGGGAAATGCTTCTTGGTACGTCTCGGTTGACAACTCATCCCCTAGAGAACAGGTGACCGAAAAGCAGGCAGCAGAGCCAGGTGCCGTTCCAGACGCACGGTACTGCTGGCTAAGCCCTGCTCCTGTGCTGCTCCTGCCGCTGCTCAGCCCCAGGGTCATTCCTTGCCCCAAACCAACTCCCATGCGGAGCAGCCGGCAAGTCTGCCTGGCCCTGGCAACCATGGACCTGAGAGAGCAGGACAGCGTCTGCCCAAGTCCGTTGGGGAGGGGTGACAGCCGCCTCCCCACTGAAATTGCACCCTCTCCACCGGGAGCCCTCTGGGGCTCAGCTCTTACCACTGGGCTGCTTCCTCTGCCTTTTGCCCATCCCCTGCTCGGCCGAGCTGCCTCGTTGCATGTTTCCGACGTCAAATGTTGAACTCGGGGACCTTTTAAAAACAGGAGCTTGCCCTTTCTCCACCTGCCCTTTGAGGACAGCCACAGCAAGGTGCTTTCTGGTGCTTCTCAGCCTTCCTGGGTGTTGGTAGAAGAGAAAATTGACAGCTGTATGCCACTTACTCCCTTTGAGGTCAGTGGTTGGGACTCCAGCCTCTTTTCCCTTCAAAGTAAGCAGAAACTGAATTATTGCATATTTTCAAAACCCAAGATGGTCCTTCTGTGATGGACAGAGGAGATAAACCCCAGGGAGTCAAAGCCCTGAGACTAACCCTGGAAAGGTAAGGCCCAGCCCTGTTTCAGGCATGACAGAAGGTGCCAGGGGTAGTTAGAACTGAATTAGTTGCTCTTAATTGGCCTGTGATTTCTTCTTAGGTCTGTGCAGGGGCTGAACGTTGCACCCTGTCCATCTCGGCGGGTTCCAGCTCCGTGCTGAGGTCTGGCTCGGGCAAACCTGGCTCTCCTCGGCACGACTGGAAGGGCTTTGCTGCGCTGAGGTCGATGCTGACGCTGGTGCTTTGCCGAATAAGGCACCCCTGTGGTTTTCCAGGTGTCCCTGTTTTGCTTCCACCCCGTCTTTATTCTTCTGGAGAGAGCAACCTGGTTCTGGTCCCTCGGGTTTCTGACTCGCACACCTAGAGGGAAGTTTGTCAACCCAACTTCACTAATGTGTAAGCTTAGCCTTGGTTTTCTAGGCTCATCTGCTAGGAGGGTTTTTTGGGCATTGCCGAGTTCAAAGCTTGTGTTCGGCTCAGCCTGCTCAAGGGTGGCGTCACTACTCACTCCCTTTACAACAGGGAGTAGCGCTCACGTGTACGGCGTGGGGCTGCCGAGGACGTAGCGAGAGCTGCCTCTATTTTTGTCGCACCCAAAGGGTGTCGGGCTGCTGGCACGGCCTCAGGCAGTCAGATTGAAAATTGGGGCAGTGAGCAGCAGTGCCTGAGCCAGGCGGCGTGTGCAGCTGGCCAGGCAGGGTTTGCAGCAGAGCTGTGGATGTTCACCCGAGCTGAATTTATTCTCGGTGTAAACTGACAAACCTCGAAGTCGGTGGAGCTCTGCCCCTTTGTACAAGGAAAAACAAAAAAAAGTCCAGATGAATGCTGCACAGGAAACTTGGGATAATTCCGTCTGCTTTTTCCTACCCCAGCGGTAATCCTCAGCAATAAGGATCTTCCAGGTAGATGAGACAGATCTTAAGGGTATCTCACTAGTTTGAGTTGTGCTGCTGGAGGGTAGATGTGAGGAAAAAAATGAAACGATGCTTGCCTCGAGAGCGTGTGCTGTCCCAGCGTGGCTGCAGCGGGGGCACGCGCAGCGCCTGGGTCTGTTTTCCCCGCGGTTTGCACGGCTCACGGCTG